CTGCGAACCTTCTTTTTCCTCAAACCCCAGAGGAAAAGGTTCTGTACCACACCCTGTGGGCAATATACTTGAGGAAAACGAAAAGGGGCCAGACCTCCCACAGCATGGAAAAACAGGCAGGGAGTGAGGAGCCGCAGAGAAGAACACACATGTCACACCGGCACCACCAGTTCCCTTTGGTGGTCAGAACCCCTTTCCTCCAGTTCAGAAACAAATTAATCTTACTCTTGAGCATAAAGGTCATTGTAGTATTTTGTTAAAAATGTATTTTAAACTTTTGGGAACATAACTTGCCTTGTTTGTTTGGCAGTCACACAGTTAGCTACATCTTAAATCCTAAGTGCGTTGAAAGAGAAAAATCTAAGATACTTTAAAAATAGTTAAAAGTAATTATTAAATTTCAATTTTTCACATAGATTTTGATTTTTATATGAAATGTGCAGTAACTTAACACTTGCTGGAATTACAAAGGTTCCCCACCAGTAGAATTAGCTCACATCTTCATGAGAACATCTTCATTGGTCTTTCTTTTTTCTGGCAACTAGCTAAGAAAAGAGAAACCAATAAAACAGCAAAGAAAAGTGAAAGAAAAGGAAACCCTTCTCATTCTGTTATCTAAAAATGAAGCGAAACTATGTTGTATTAAAAGATGTTGCATAACCCCACTAGCAATTAAAAAGATTTTAAAGATTTACTTACAGGGAGAGCCTGTGCCAATACTTACATCCAAGAATGCTAAATTCCAACTGAATATCAGTACACAGAATAGAAATCTTTGCTCTGTTTGCTGAGTTCCCCACCCCCAAAGAAAATGTTCCTACGGCTACCTGGAGAGGAATGGTAGAGCTTCCGGGAGATTGCGGCTGAGAATGAAATCTGACCCACTTCTGCCTGCTTTAGCCATCATTCTAGATACAAAAAAATAATCAGCTTGCTAAGGAATTCCTGCTGTTACTCCACACCTTTTCCTTTTTCTGGGTCTGAACACATCTAAAAACCCTGGATTATGCAGAGGCTTTGAAAAGTTTAGAAAGTACTCTTCATGAAAATTCCCTAACTCTTGTCTCATAATCAGCTCTCTTTAAAGTGGAATTAATTGGCACCGATTTTTAGAGTATGCATTTTAAAATAGGTTAGGTTTTTGAACGTTATTTTTTAAAGAAATGTTTGCAAATTCTTTCTCCCCCCCACCCCCCTCACTTACTTTCTACCTTTCATGTTTCAGAGAAAACAAGCTGCCAGGGGATGTAAGAAAGTGGCTTCTGTATTGTCCCTTTTGGTATGCTGAATTGTAAATGGGAATACTGGGGGGAGGGGGGGGGCTGGAGGCAAACCCTGCATATACAGATAAAAGAAAAAAGACCTCTTCACCAAGGGCTGGTGGCCTTCTCTCCCAGAATTTAAACACAGCCTGTGAATTCCACTGGCTAGTTCTTAGGTCACAGGATCCCCACATTTGAAAGGATTTTTAAAGATAGCCATATACTGTAAACTGGCACAAAATAAAAACACTTTGAAGTAATTAGTGCCAACAAACAAGATGCAGCAAGGCAAAACTGTTTTAAATTTAACATCCTTTTGTTCTTCCTTAAATGTATACTTTCTAATGACAGAGAAATGCATCTTTCTGAAATTGTGTGTGTATGTGTGTGTCTCTGTGTGTGTCTCACCCCCCCGGCAGAGGGTTGCAGCACGGCACGACATCTTTAAAGTTCTTGGTTGGACTTAAGTGCTGCACTGTCACTGGAATTTTTTTTATTTTACTTTTATTTTTTTTTTTTCGTCTTTTTGAGATGGGGTCCCCTTGCAGCCCCAGCTGGCCTGAAACTCACTATGTAGACCAGGCAGGCCTTGAACTCACGGAGATCTGCCTGCCCCTGCCTCTCCAGTGCTGGGACTACAGGCATGCGCCACCACGCCCAGCATTGCTGGAAGTTTTAATTAGTTTTTCTTATAACAAAAATCTTCGGCTGGCTCAGAGGATATCATTATTGGTGGCACAGATCTCACTGAATCCCAGAGCTGCATCACATTTATTTCTAAAATAGGAAATATTTGCGAATAAGCCATTTAAAACAACTGTTTCTATTGGGGGCTTAAGTCTCAGTAACTTAAAATTTTACAACAGGCTAACTCTAGAACTTTTTACATAAGGCAACCTAGCTTGTTCTCATTCAGATGTGTTGTTCATTCCTTCAGTGCTAAGGTCTGGAGATAACCTAAGCTATTGTATAGCCATTTTTTTCATTGTCTAAACAGCAAATCCTGAAAAATATGCTATAAAAATATAAAATTTCTACTGTAAATTAGCATGGCTATGCATCTCGGCCCCTGATAGTCTCAGTTGTTTCATAAAGTATCTGTTCTGCTTGACATTAACAAAAGCCTTCAATTTTACTGCAGAGATGGACCCAGTGCTTTAATTAACATGTCACGCCCAAAGTGATACAAAGGAATCATTTACTTCATTTCTAAAACACTGTAGACTAAGCTCACTCATAAGTTCCCACTTGACATATCTGTCTCCTCTGCATCTACCAAAATTAAGAATTTAAGATCACATTGGAGTCATTTAGTTTGCACAACCATTTATTTACCTTAAAAAAAAAAACAAAACAACTTTTCTTGGTGATCTTAGAGTAATGCACACATAAGTGTTCCTTGACTTCACAGGGAAGAGACTATCTTTTATGCTCCACAAACAATGTGCTTCAAAACAAATAAATTAGAAAAAAACTTGTTTTAAGTTTGCCTAAACTATCCTTCAGACCAGCGTGGCAGCACACTGCTTTACTGGGGCTCAGCCTCAGACAGGTTATTTTTGGCCTGTTGCAAAATATGAGGAACTGTGTCGACATCTCCATCAGAAGTCTGAATGACTGGAACACAGCCTCTATAAAAACTCCACTCCTGAGAGGGTGGAAAACCTGGATGTGGGGAGTCTTAAATAAATTCGAGCAGCAGCGAGGTGAATTCAAAAGAGAACTCGTAAATAATTTACTCCATCTGAGGTTTTCAACACCGTCCAGGTTATATATCCTCCAACATGTTTAGGCGATTAACTTCACCACACTCACATTTCTGAAGCGAAATTAAAAATGAACAACAGTGCCTCAGCTTGTTAACGGTTAAATACACGAGGTTTTACTCTATTAATTAAAATATGCTTTAATAAAAGGAGACATTGCACATTTTGATAACGACCCTACAAAGCGAAGTATTTACATTGTTGCAGTTTGGTGCGGCTGTGAAAGCGGATTTTAAGCTATTCAGGAGCTGCAATAATGAAGCTTTAAAATTCCTCACTGGGATGCAGTGTAGTTCTTTTGAGGGAAAGACTGTCTTTCTCATTCGGCAGAAATAAATCCATTCATTTGATCATGTAGTCATTGAGGGTAATACAAAACAACCCAAGTGTGAGAAATTCTATGTGAAGAAGTAAACAAAACAAAAAAATCTATTTCCATGACAAAAAGATTCTTTGTCCTTAATCTACCCAACATATGCAAGCGTTTCTTTTTAGCATATCGCCTGTTCTAATCTTGGCTGCAGAGATGCGGTTCTCTCACCTCACAGCAACAAAAAGACCCAACGAGTCCCATTTGATTTAATTCATTCTGGGGCTGCTGTGGGCATTTTCTCACTTTCTACTGCAATGTGCATGCTTTGTCAAACTTTACCACTGTGTGATAAACTCTAAAATTCCGTCTATTTGTTTTTTGGATTTTTGGCAGGCGGCACTATTTTCATAGTAAAAAGATTACTTAGTATCTGCCTCTAAACTTACATAGGTTGACCATAAAAGTTGTCTTTTAAAGAACAAATTATTCCACTTCGCACTTGCTTGGGGGCTCCGTGCCGCCCGTGGCCGCCCCTCCTCCGCCTCCTTGCCGGCGCCCTGGCGACGGGCGCTGAAACTGGCGCCTAGGGCCCACGGATTCTGGGTACCCTAAACTTAACGGTGTCAAAGTGCAGCGATGCTAAACCCGCATTTCTCTAGTCTCTAAGTTCCTTAGCCCCTGCCCTTCACTTTCGAATGGTTCGAGGAGGAAGTTCCTACCAGCGAAGTAACTTGCGAGGGTGCCTCAGCGCCCGATTTCGGTGTATCCAAGAGTGCACACGAAAAGGCCTAAGGGGAAACTAGAAAGCCACCAGAAACGTGCTGCGGTCCTACCGCGTGCAAGCACAGGCCCCCAAACGACATAACTGTGCTCGCCCCCCACAATTCCCAAGTCGGCCATTAAGAAAAGGCCAAGAGACATTTACTTCCCACTCGCTTCCGAAAGGGCTGATTGGATTTGTCAACGCGCTGGGACACCGCGGGGTTCGTGGCCCGAGGGTCACCGGAGGCGGCCTGCAGGCGGTACGCGACACGAAGCAGAGACCGAGCTCACCGAGGTGGCCTGGGCCCCCGGGCGGACTCCAGGCGCGCACCAGCGGGGCACCAGGGAGCGCGGCACCGAACAAAGCTGGCCAGGCGGCAGCCTCCACAGCCGGTGTCCAGCGGTAGGTGAGCCTCAGACGCGTTCCCCGCTGCTGCGCCCGCTCTGGGGTCAGCCCTGAGCTGGGCCGGGGTCTCCGAGAGTCCCGGAGGCGCTGGGCCCGGCGAGGCAGCGTGTGGGCGTAGAGAAACCTGGACCAGCATCCAGGCGGCGGCGAGGACCCCCTCCCTCCCTCCAGCGCGTGGGCCTCGGTCTCCGGCCGCGCAGACTCCAGTCTGTCCTGCCGCAACACCCTCAGCTCGCAGCTCCCCAGTTCGGAACAGCAGAGCCAAGTTTACTTGGTCCGCAACTCTTTCCGCGGCCGCGCACTTCGAGGGAGCACAGGTTCCCCGTTTGCTAGCAAGGCCGAAGGGCCAGATTCGTAGCCAGCATTCACTCGCGGGAACCGGGGAACTTTCTCCCACTTCGAGATGCGCGCAACCGCTCCCGCCGCCCAATCTTCCCAACCTGGGTGGGCGCCCCAGAACCCCTGGCCATCTTGAGGTCCCCGGCCCTCACCGTGCTCGGGAGCCCCGTCCGGCGGCGGTAGCTCCTCGTCCGACTTGAGGTGCTGGGGCTTGGCCTGCTTGCGCCGAGACATGCTGCTAGCGGCGCTCGGCCCCCGCGCGGGGCAGCGACATCAGCGGGGTGGCCGGCGGGGACGAAGCGGGGCGGGCAAGGGGCGTCCGGGCGGGCGCG